AACACTCGCCGCACAGATAACGAAAATCTCTGATTGTCCTCTGCAGCCTCGCAGCTGGAAGGAAACGATTCCGAAACGACTTGCCAATGACTGGATTGCGTTTGGTCGTGTTTAAGGGCGGAAGAGCCCTGAACCATAAACTACGTGCCCATTGTGAAAAGGTCTATTCACGAGCAGAAACGATCAAACCACAAAGACGAGCTAACGGAAGTATATTCGGGCCGCAGAGATAAGTGGGTCACTCGACTCGATCTGCAGGGTCTCAGATCACATGTTAGGCATGGTTCGGTTCCAGTAGATAACACTTGAGAATCCATGTTTGACCTCGACAGCTTCTTCTTGACCGGCAGCAAATTATTTCGTCACTCCACATGGCCAACGGCCCAAGCATTCCCCTCTAGATCTGACACGATCCTCGACAACGAACCTGCCCGAAACGCGTGGCGCTGGCTGGAGGTTACGAAAGTAATAGTCTTCTTCCATGGCTCCGCCGATCTCTTGTGACGTCGGGAATTCTCATCGTCGCATTACTGGAGCTCCGTTGCTGCGAGTTGGTTTGATCTCGACTACTCGAGAATCGACAGATGCCTGTCAGCCCGTGGCTGCTTCTCATTGAAATCGCGCTGGTATATGATCTATTTCGACAAAAACATATAAGTAACAGAATTGTATCAAGATTGATAGCAATACATACACCCTCAATAAGTAACTTGTTTCAACGCGACCACCAGGACGAAACAGATTTCAACGTAGATGTCAGCAAATCGTTAGACTGCTGCTGTCTCTCAGGCCGGCGCAGATTGTGCAGTCTGCTCGCCGAGGTTGGCGGAGGAGCAAGTCGGCGCAATGCCGAATAAGGTGGTGATACGTGAACACACGGGCTGACTGTTTCGTCGGCATGGGCCACCTTGCAATCTCCCATTGAAGATGCAGTGGTGCTACTGCTATAGACAGTCGACCGGGAGGAGAAACTCGGAGCTGGCGACAACTCTCGCTGCTCACGGCAGGCGATCTTTATTTCCGTCTTGGACTTCCTTGCTCTCCTTCCGACCGGACGAGCGGAAGCCTTCGGAATGAACGTCGCAAGACACCGTTTCTTCGGAGCCGGCTCTTCAGACACCAAAGACACCTGGCTCTGCCGCAGAGCCTCCCGTCTCCATTCGTATTCGGACACGGCTGCTGGGACTATCGAGTACGGCCGCTTGCCCAGAGAAACTGGCCGCGAGTGGGACCACTTGACCTCGGCGTCTAGCAGAGCGAAGATCGTCAACGATGAGTGTGAGATCGGTGCTGGTTCCAGAAAAGTGGGTCGATGATGAGAGCGGTACTGCTCGAATTGCTGCTGCTCTGACAGCTGCTGAGGCTGCTGGAATAGTTCCTGTGGAGGTTGCAGCGCCATATGCTCCTGTTTCTCCACGAGAGGATTGGACGCAGCCAGCGATTGATTCCAGAGACCAGGGGGATTCCACGGATCATGGTCTTGGGATAGAATCGTGAACGGACCGGTCCTCACACCTTCTAGCGGGATGACAAATGGATGATTAAGGACAGGCGCATCGAGTTTGAGACTCGGCTGCAAAGGTGTAGGTAAGAAATTCCCATCGAGTTCTTCTGGCGGGTTGAGAAAGGGATCCGTGCTCGGTCCAGCGGGATTGTAGATGTGCACCACTGGCCTAAACTGATTCGCTATGGGCGACATATCCTCATGCTGAGAGGAGACAGCAAGCGTGTCATAGCATATCTCGTCGCTCGGCTGTGGCACTTGAGATTGAGGCAGGGGACCGAGCTTGCCGACTGCAGCGGCGAAGGGTTGAGGTTCTGGACCGATAAGCTGTAGCGATGCTGGACCCAACGACCGAGGTGCTGATTCAAGAGCTTGCATTCCAAGACCCAACGGCTGAGGTGCTGATTCCACGATCGAGCCAGAAGTTTGTGGCATGCAAGCAGCCGAATTCATAATGGTCTCCGAACAGGATTGCTGGTCCAAAATAGCGTGAATCTCAGCCAAGAAGGCATCAGCCAGCGCCTCGTCCTCCTCTTGCGGCACACGTCCGCCTGAGAAGGCAGCCAAACTTCCAAAGACGGGTGGCGATTCAAGGACCGTTTTTGAATCTAACATCTGGCTGGCTGGCGGCTTGGCAGAATCCTGAAACACGGCGGAGGGTTGGCTCGGTTGTGCCGCATTGGGTAACCCTTCGTGCATCTTCGAGGCGAATGGAAGTGATTGGCCGCCTTGACCAGGGTCGACCGGCCGCTCCAGAATCGACACGGGCTTCTGCGCGTCAGGAGTCGTGTCTTCGTCCATGTCATTTTCCCCGTCGTAGTCCTCGTCTATCCAGCGTTCTGGGGGCTTTGGAAAGTTCTGCTCTCGATCTTTCTCAACCGGATGCTTCGGTTCTGTTGCAACTGTCCAGGAACGCTTATCAGATGTGAATCAGTGACATGAGATACGGAGAAATGTACCTTCAGACTGGTCACCACTGTCTTCTTCATTCTCGACAGCAGAGGGTTGGAAAGGGTGGGAGCTGGACGGAGATGTCAACAAGAGATTTCAAGTGAACAAGCCGCGTACACGGGTTGGTCGTAGTAATTGACGGCCTTTGGTTTGCCTTTGCCTCCAGGATATGTACTCCCATACTGGGCTGGGCTTATACGCAGAGCCTGTGCTGTGATGTCGGTGTTGCTGATTAAGGTGCTCCCCGATATCTGGGGCAAATGCGATCTCTGATCACCATCATTGGTATGAATGATGATTTCGACTTCATCCTCATCCTCTTCCTCTCCATCCTCCTCTTCGCAATCGCCGCTGTCCTCATCGTCCTCGTCCTGGCCAGCGGCACCGGTCGACAGGGCAGGGTAGGCCGGCGGAGAGCCGCCACGCGGACCATTGAGAGTGATGTTACACGCAATCCGGGAGGAAGATCTGCCCGACGTCATTGAGCACGCAGCGACGCTCTAGCACATCAGGCGGAGATGGACACTCACCCTGCTTCCTGGGGATAGTCACGCTTATAGTCGGCGTTCTTCTTCTTCAACGCATACAACTGAGGCTCGTCGCAGCTGAATCCACCGAAGCGTTCTAACATGTCTGAGAATCCGTCAAACACATCGTTCTCGCCCCGCGGTTGGGCGGCTGGAGGAGCGATGGTAGTGCTGGTCTCGGTGCCAACGAAAGGGTTACGTTCGGTAGAGTGGTATAGGGGCGCGGCGCGTGCAGTTCTGCGACCATATTCAATCAACGAGAGAGCGGAGACACAACAGGATGCGATGCTGGTTAGCGGGAAAGATACGCACGGTCGTATCAGAACTTCAGCGGTGGCCATGACACCCCGTCTCTAGGCAGGAAGAGGCAGGAAGAGTCCCAGCAGAAGCGGTCGGAGTCCAAGGTCGTGATGTCAGGATGCGGGATACGGAGGGCGAGCGATAGGTGGCGGACACTGGTGGTGTGCGGTCACCGCGGTGGAGGAGCGAGACAAGAACGGCCAACCCTCCGTGGGTCCATGTGATAGACGGATGTGTGCTGCACCGCTCTTGTGCTCGCATGGGTTTAGTCCGACAGCTTGTTGATCACACGAGTCATGGGAAGAACAAGAACAAGGAAACGTTGCGTTGTCGGAGTACCATTGTTTATGTCAGCACCATTACATTGATACTGGACTTGGCCAAAGCGCGGCGGCATGAGCCGTGTCTGAATGCCTCCGAGCGCACCACAGACTTTGCGTCGTATAACTACATAATGGATTTTGAATTTCTCTCTTGTTTCACTCGCTCATGTCTGTGTTGTCGAGGACGGAATCAAATGATCGATAAGCCGATCTTGACGTGGTGCGATCGTCGAAGCTCTAGGATGACAGAAAGCTGTGCTTCGGAAGATACCGACCAAGCCCTGGTTCTTAACCTCACACCACTGTACCGAAACTTTGCGCTGCAAGAGCTGTTGGCACTGCGGAGGGACTTATTTTTCTCCCGTGGAAAACGTGTGACAATCTAGAAGTCTGATTTTCACTGTTCTGTTTTCAGACAATATATATATATCAAAAATAGATGTCGATTTACAGCTCAATTTTTACCATGAATAGACATCTATTCCTCCTTAAAACAGCACTGTAAATAGATCATCTTTTTTTAATTGATTCTCACTGGGAATAGATGTCAATTTTCACTGAAAATAGAAACAAAAAAAGAGGATCTTTTTTTACTAAAAAGAGGTTCTTCCAATAATGGAAAAAGATCATCTTTTTTTGTTTCTATTTTCAGTGTGTTTTCAGGAGGAATAGATGTCTATTCATGGTAAAAATTGAGCTGTAAATCAACATCTATTTTCAATATATATATTTTGTCTGAAAACAGAACAGTGAAAATTGGACTTCTAGATTGTCATGCATTTTCCACGGAAAAAAATAAGTCCCCCTGCAGTGCGGACAAGGTAATCAGGCCAATCAACTTGAATCTTTCAGTAAGTCCATAGGCCTACCAGTACAACCTCTTCCTTGAGAAGAGCATTGGTTTCTAGATAATAGCTTCTCACTTTCCAGTTGTGTCTCTTCCACACTGTTGAACTCATGAACATGACTGCTGTACTCATAGAAAGTGGATCAAAGCCCTCTATATCCTTCTTGGTGACTCTCCCCAATTTATGTCCTACATCTGGCATGTTGCAATGTGACATCAACCCCAGATTGTGACAATCAACCCAAAAACAAAGTTGAAAAGAGAAGTGAATTCGAAGACTGGAGAATACAACCAAGTTGCTACAGTTTTATACCCAAATCCAGTCTGAGTCATATCTACAACTAATGAGTCATCAGGCTATGTACCGCATGGAGCACTGGTCATGGGTTGTAGTAGAACCTTCTGAAGCATATGTTGCGCAGCCTCAAACCAATAAAGATAATCCCCTGGACCTCTAGCCCGGACCGTCAGATGCCGTGATCCATGATAAGATAACCCATGCCAAGATAAGATAAGATCATTGATGATAAGATGAAAAAGTGGCTGAACTATGACATTACCCCCTCTCTAGGGTCGATGTCCTCATTGACTGGGCCAATGGGTGTGAAGACATTTTTGTAAGGGTCAAAGAGTTGTTGTTGGGGATATGGGAGGCACTCGTCTTTGGGTTTGTAGCAGTGAATGAGATAGTCCCAATGTCCAGCTTTGAGTGTTGGCAGGAAACAAATGCATGTGTCTGGGTCAGATTGTTTCCTCTGCCAAGCCCTCAGGACCTTCTTTGCATGGGTAAGATGATGTGATGGTTCCCATGTATTCTCGCTATGTGGCCATCCCTTCCATTTGACCAAGTACTGCTTCCCTTGGCCGATGTTCCGTTCCTTCACAATTTCTTTGACTTCCCACTCTTCTGCTCCTCCGATCATCTTGGCTGCAGGTCTCTTCTCTTGGCGATGGGGGGGTGGTTCGTGATAGGTTGTCAACAGTGACTCGTTGAACACTGGGTGTCTTTGGTCTGTGTCCGGCAAATCCAGCTTCCATGCGGCCGCTCCAACCTTCTCCAGTATCTCGTATGGTTCCAATCTCTTGTCACTCATCTTCTTCACTGGTATATCCATCTCAATATTGTCCCCTTCTATGTACACCTTCATCCCAACCTCCAACTCTGGAACTTCTTTTCTTTGTTTATTATAGTATTTTTTCATTTTTTTCATTTGCTTTTTCTAATGCTGCTTTTGCTTCATCTTGTATTTCTTTGATTCTTTTTCCAAATTCTTCTACCAACTTATTTCTTGATTCCATCCGCTGCTCTACTCCCTTCCATGGGTGATATCCATGATTTGCATAGAACAGTGATATTTTGGTAGATATGTTCATTTTGTTGTCATATGCAAACTCCGCCATTCCCAGCCACTCCGACCAGTCCGTCTCATGGTAATTGACATAGATGCAGAGATAGTGCTTGATCTCCTGATTCATGCGCTCCATCTGCCCATCTGTGATTAGGTGATATGCGGTCCCTGGATTCATTTTCATGTGTCAGGGGAACCCCTGCTTTCGTCCGATCATCATGGGATCTCGCATGTGACCGCGCACGTGCTATCTGTCAAGCATCACATGCTTCGGTCCGGACTCCCCTGCCAAGCGCGTCCACATGACACTCCGGCCCGGACCCCCATTGTTCCGACGGTCCGGCTCCCATTGTTCCCCCCGATCCGGCCCCTCATTGTTCCCTGGCCCCATTGTCTGGCGCTTCCATTGTGCTTGGTCATCCATTGTTCTGTAGGCTATATATAGTGGGCCCTGACAAGGAGAGTCCCCAACTCGGTTTCTCTTTGGACTCTCCCTTGTCAGGTTTGCCAGTCTCCTGTACTAGTCGATCCCCTTATCTGACACTTTGGACTCTCCCTTGTCAGGACTCTGAGATCGGGCCTCGAGGTTGCCCTTACAGCAGAAACCGAGTTCCTAGGGATAACTGGACAAGCTTGTGAAGACCACCGACAGCGCCATCCGCTTCTCACTTCCAACCTTGTCCCCTCCTCCCCCTCTACGATCATCATGTCCCAAATGGAAGAAGAGGACGACCCCTCCCACCCCCAACAGAGGCTTGCAAATCTAGAGGAAGCCATGCAACGGATGGAAGGCCTCCTCCACAATCTCATAATTACACAGCAACAGCCTGCCCCTGCCCCTGCCCCTGCTCCGTCTCCGGCAGTGGGTCCAGGTGTATCTATTGGCCAACAGGCCAGCACGAGACCCCTCATCCGCCCCAACCCCCCATTTGCGTTCGATGGGGATCGCACCCAGGGCAAGACGTTTCTCCATTCCGTCAAGCAATACTGGCGCCTCCTCCCTGAGGCCTTCCATGTGAACGGGGTAGTATCAGAAGAGCGGGTGGTACATTTTGCCCTCTCCTACATGTCCAAGGACTCGGCGGCCTCCTGGTCAGAACGCATGTCAGAGCGCCTCGTCTTCCCATTCCCGACCTGGTCCTCCTTTGTGGCCGAGTTCAAGCTCCGGTTTGTCGAGGAGAACGAGCAAGACCATGCCCTGGCACGACTGGAGACCCATGCTTACTACATGGGATCCCGCGACGTGTTCAAATACACGGACGAGTTCGACGACCTTCTCGACTTGGCGGGGTACTCCGACAACTTGGTCAAGGTCACCAAGTACCGGGCGGGTCTGGACCCCAGAATCAATCAGGCGATCACTACCTCCGGTAACCCGCCTAGCCTCACCAACTACTCGGAGTGGCGTACCCACGCATTCCGCCAGTACAACGCCGAGGTGGCTGCCCGAGCTGCACGAGGACAGGTGTTCTCTCCACCCCGCGCTCCACCTCCTGCGGCTCCCCGCCCTCGCCCCATGGCTCCTCCAGTGGTCGCCCCGCCCCCTGCTCCCCGACCAGCCCCGGTAGTCCTCCCACCGGGCATTCCCATGGAGATCGACCGAACCCGAGCCCGCAGCAGTGTCCGTCGCACATGCTTCCGATGCGGCATCCCAGGACATCTGGCCCGAGACTGCCCGACCCCCGCGGATGTCCGGCACACCGACGTCCTGGACGAAGTGATCAATCAACTGGGAAGCGACCTGTTGGCGGAATTAGTAGCCCGGGTAGCAACTACGGCGGCCGTAGAAGAGCATGAAGCGGAGATTGCCGACGAGTTGGAGCAGGGTTTTCTCCCCCGCGACGAGTGAATAGTACGCCCTCGATTGCCTCACGTAATTGTTTTGAATGTCTGTATGATGAATGCGACCTCATTTCCCCCACAAACGAAACGATAGATGTACCCCCTGCCCCCCGCTCAGTCCCGCTGGTCCGCAAGGAAAAGTGGGAACGAAAACTCCCTCAGCGCTATGTGGTTGTGGCCTCCCCTGGCGCCAACTCCCTGCACCTCCCCCTGGAGATCCAGTCCACCGACAACGCAGTCCAACTCTCTCTCAACGGACTGGTCGACTGCGGCGCCACATCGGACTTCATCGACTCCACCTACGCCTCCGAAAACCGACTTCCGGTCCGGCAGCTCTCCCAGCCCATCCCAGTCTACAATGTGGACAGCACGCCAAACGAAGCTGGCTCCATTCGACAAATCGCCGATGTGGTCCTGCGTTACCAAGGACACAGTGAGCAGGTCCAGCTTGCTGTCACTCGGCTTGGCAAGCAGAAGCTGATCCTCGGCTACTCCTGGCTTCGGAAGCACAACCCGGAAATTAACTGGGACACGCAGGAAGTGAAGATGAGCCGCTGCCCGTCCGGCTGCTCCACCTGCACCGAGGAGTCTCGCCAAGAGAGACGGATAGCCCGAATTTCGGCCTGAGCACTCCGGTCAGCCCGACAAGGTCCCGCCCCCTCCATCTGCGTCGTCGACATGGAAGACCGCGAAGACGAGGCTATGCCGCTACTCCAGGAAGACGACGGAGAGGATTCCGATGAAGAAGAAGACTGTCTGGAAGCCGGTGACCGTATCTTCTACACCCGTTTCAACCCTTCTGAAGACATCCAAGCCACTAGCACCGTCTCCCAGCGCCTCGCAGAGGCGTTTGCCAAGAACTCCGCCCCCTCTCGAGATTCCATACCCGAGTGGGCGCGCGAGTTCGAGGATGTTTTCAGCAAGGAATCCTTCGACAATCTTCCGGAACGTCGCCCTTGGGACCACGCCATCGAACTGGTACCCGATGCAAAGCCAACAAACTGCAAGGTCTACCCTATCTCCCCCTTGGAGCAGAAGCAGCTCGACGCTTTCATCGAAGAAGGCATGGCCACCAGCCGAATCCAACCCTCAAAGTCCCCCATGGCCTCCCCCGTCTTCTTTGTCAAGAAGAAGGATGGCAGCCTACGGTTTGTCCAGGATTACCGGGCACTGAATGCAATGACAGTGAAGAATCGGTACCCCCTTCCCTTGATCAACGACCTGATCAACAAGCTCAAGGGAGCCCGCTTCTTCACCAAACTCGATGTTCGATGGGGCTTCAACAACGTACGGATACGAGAAGGAGACGAGTGGAAGGCTGCATTTCGGACCAACCGCGGGCTCTTTGAGCCACTGGTGATGTATTTCGGCCTTACCAACTCCCCTGCGACGTTCCAGACCATGATGAATGACATCCTCCAGGACCTCATCCTCTCGGGCGACGTCATGGTGTACCTGGACGACATCCTCATTGCGCACTCCGACCCTCACCTCCATCGTCGTATTGTGAACGAAGTCCTCCGGCGCCTCCGCGAAAACAAGCTGTATCTCCGAGCCGAGAAGTGCGAATTCGAGATGGAGTCCATCGAATACCTTGGCGTGATCATCTCCCACAACCACGTCGAGATGGACCCCGTCAAAGTGGCAGGCGTAGCTGAATGGCCGGCCCCCTCTAACAAGAAGGAAGTGCAGCAGTTCCTTGGGTTCACTAACTTCTATCGGAGGTTTATCCGGGACTTCTCGCACGTTGCACGCCCGCTCTTCGACCTCACCAAAAAGGATGCACCGTGGTCTTGGGGCGACAACGAGTCCACTTCGTTCCAGGCCTTGAAGGATGCAGTTACCTCTACGCCGGTTCTTCTCCTCCCAGACTCCTCTCGCCCTTACCGCCTAGAAGCTGACAGCTCCGATTTTGCCACAGGAGCCGTCATCTCGCAGCAGTCCCCCTCGGACGACAAGTGGCACCCAGTCGCCTTCTTCTCCAAGAGCCTCAACGATGTCCAGCGCAACTACGAGATCCATGACAAAGAGATGCTTGCAATTGTGCGGGCGCTGGAGGAGTGGCGGCACTTCTTGGAGGGCGCCGAACACCCCGTGGAGATCTGGACCGATCACAAGAACCTGGAGTACTTCCGCAAGGCCCAGAACCTCAATCGCCGGCAAGCCCGATGGTCGCTCTACCTATCCCGGTTCGACTTCACGCTCCACCACCAGCCCGGCCGGCTCATGGGACGACCAGACGCACTCTCCCGACGCCCGGACCACGGAGCCCCTTTGGACAACACGGATGTCACCCTGTTGAAACCGGAACTGTTCCATGTGCGAGCACTCGAAGGACTGTCCGTCTCTGGCCCGGAAGCCCCGCTTGTCCGTGACATTCGGGAATCGCTCTCCGGTGACCCTGACCTTGAGGAAGAACTTGCGCTTATAGCGCGACGGCTTCTGAAGGGGATGAAGGGGGCCCGCTCCGCTGTAGCAGCGGAATGGCGCATCCAGGACGGCCTCCTCTACTTCCGTGGGAAGCTAGTGGTTCCGCGTGACAGAGACCTTCGGCGACGCATCCTTGAGCAACACCACGACACCCGCGTTGCGGGGCATGCTGGCCGCTTCAAGACGCTGGAGCTGGTCTCCCGGAACTACTGGTGGCCCCAGCTCTCACGACACGTTGGCCGGTACGTTGAAATGCTGAGGGCGCGCTCACAAGTGAATCTACTATGAAAGTAAACCCAAAT